AAGAGCCGCATCAACGGATGTTGTCATTGTCCATGCTTCTGCGCCATATACCAGTACGGGCATGATGAGTGACTTATAGAGAGTGGTTTTCGTACGTCAAGAGAGGACTTTACTGCTGAATTGCTTACTCACATATATGTAAAACTTCGATATTGGCAGTAAGCTAACTTCTCAATGTGCAAGCATTCCGAAAATCAAAGCAAGACAGTCTAGTACCGTTTTTGTCAGGGTATTGTGTACTTGAGTGCCATTTTTGTATATTTGTTCTGTACATGTTTATTTATAAAAGTATGTGTCCCTTTTATTTCGTACGTGTTTATTGATATATCTGTACTGTAGTGTTTTCGGACGATACCAGGTCTTACTGCCAATATAGGAGTATTACATATACGCCTACTCAGTCCAAAGTAGCACTTGTTGGCAAGAGTGATTCTGCGTTGGATTTCAATGTTGACATTATTATCGGTGTTAATGCTGGTTCCCAAGTAAACAACATTCTCTACTTTCTCGAAATTGTAACTGTCAACAGTGACGTGGGTGCCAAGGCACGAGTGTGCTGACTGTTTGTTTGACAGGTGATACTTCGTCTTGTCCTCTTTTACCACCAGACCCATTCGCTCTGCTTCCTTATACAACTTGAAAAAGGCAGAACAGACTTCGCGGTTTTTGTTACCGATGATGTCTATGTCATCGGCATAAGCCAGCAAATGCGCGCTCTTGTAGTAAATCGTTCCTGAGCGGTTCAGTTCTGCAGCTCTTATTATCTTCTCCAACATCAGATTAAAGAAGTCACATGAAAGGGAGTCGCCCTGTCTGAAACCCCGTTTTGTGGCGAACGGCTCGGAGAGGTCTTTTCCAATTCTGACGGAGCTGTTGGTATTGCTCAACGTCATTTTACACAGCCGTATGAGTTTTGAGGGGATGCCAAATTCAGACATAGCGGCGTATAGGCAACTCCTTTTAGTGCTGTCAAAAGCGGCTTTAAAGTCGACAAATAGGTGGTGAGTGTCGATCCTTTTCTCGCGGGTCTTTTCCAAGATTTGGCGTATTGTGAATACCTGGTCTATGGTGGATTTGCCAGGTCTAAAGCCACACTGATAAGGCCCAATCAGTTCATTGACGGTGGGCTTCAGTATTTCACACAATACGCTCGATAAGACCTTGTAACCTATGCTTAGAAGACTGATCCCGTGGTAGTTGGCGCAAATGGTGGGGTCACCTTTCTTGTGGATTGGGTAGAGCACACTTAAATTGCAGTCGTCGGGCATGCGTTCATCTGACCATATTCTGCACAAGAGTTGATGCATGCACTTTATCAACTCCTCGCCGCCGTACTTGAATAGCTCAGCTGACAGGCTGTCAGCTCCATCAGCTTTGTTGTTTTTCTGCCGCGTTATTGCTATACGTACCTAGTCATAGTCAGGCGGTGGAACGTCGACTCCGTCGTCATCGACTGCGGGCTCAGGCTCTTCCTCTACACAACTTTCCGTGCTGCTACCATTTAGTAGGGCGAAAAAATGTTCCCTCCATAATTTAATTTAAGGTCGCCGTTAATGTTCTTACAGGAGTACGCCCTGGTCTTGAAACCTTCCGTAAGGCGTCGAACTCTCTGGTAAAATTTTCGGGCATTATTCCTGTCGACCAGCATTTCAAGCTCTTCGCACCCACGTATTTCCGCCTCTCTTTTCTTATTGCGGCAAATACGTCTCGCTTCCCTCTTGAGATCCCTATAGAGGTCCCACAGGCGGCATATTTTTCTCTGCAGCTTCCCGACACTCTTCATCGTACCAGTTGTTCTCTCAAGCTCGCTGAAATCCGACTACTTCTTCGGCAGCGGTACTTAATGAGCGGGAAATGTGGTTCCACTGCTCGCATTTGTCGGTTTGTGGAAGAGTGCTCTCTGAGAGCAGGTGTGAGAGTCGAGTAGCGAAAGACAGCCAGCGCTGTTGTGATTGCAGCTTTGCGACGTTAAGCTGTCCTTGCATATTGGGGCGCACATTTTTTGCTGCACAGAGGCGGGTGCGTATATTGGCTGCAACAAGATAGTGGTCCGAGTCGATNAGCCTCTCATGCGAGGCTTTGCTATGCTTCTTCACTGGAAGTGGTTTTTACGTGGCGGGTCCAAACCCAGCGCNGATTTGGTTTCTCGTTTTTCGATCCGGAGACAGCCACGTAGCTTGATGGATCTTTTTATGCTTGAACCTAGTACTGCATACTACCATGTTTCGGGCCCGGCGAAGTCGATCTGCCTCATTCCGTTATCGGACGTTTCGACGTGGAGGCAGAATTTTCCGACGTTTGCCGTGGTCATCATCATATAGAGGGGGGAGGGGGGGGGGGTTCTCATGCGAGGCTTTGCTATGCTTCTTCACTGGAAGTGGTTTTTACGTGGCGGGTCCAAACCCAGCGCACAACCCATTGTTGGGACGGGGGTGGTTTCGCAACCAAATACACGTTTATATAGCGAGCTACTTGCTCCAAGCAGACACCCGCTTGCAGCCGCACCTACTGGTGAACAGACGCTGCAGACTTCAGTGAGCCCTTAAACCGAATAAGTCGGAGTGGCCCCACCGAAGCTCCCTCTCTTTCTGCCGGGACCTAAGGCTCCACTCGGATTGGTTACCGCATCTCGCACATGGGTTGCTCACGCTGCCCAAAGTGCGCGAACGCGGACGCAAGTGTCGGGATTGAGTATAGCCATGCAACTGTAACTGCATACCCTGCGCAACGACTATACCCCATTGCACTCCACTATACCCCATTACACTTACAGAGAAAATGGCAAAGGTCGGACCGCTGATCCCTATAGCCTCCATACAACTGATTGTTCAGATATGAGAGTTTTTTTTATAACTTCTCCATTTACGTAGCTAGAAATATGAAATTTCGCACTACTTTCATCCATTACTAGAGCTGTAAAAGTAACGAAAATTTGGATACCCGGATGTATTCGTTATTAATCCAATCAACATTCGTATCTTTCGTATCATTACGTTACTTTTGATACAAGCACTTGTACCTCACAAGAATCATCTTAACAAATCTTGCAGCGTAAGGAAATATTCGTTCGTACATATGCATACATGTACATACCCTGCAGTACGGGGGAGCGACTACAGGGTTGATGAATCGGTAGCTACCTGATAAACTCTGTCAATTACCGACCGACTATATGCAGTGTATTTCATCGATTACTTTTACAAGGCAATGTCCTAGGCGGTAGTCACCATCGGCTCTCTCTGCACTACCGAGAGTTACTAAAGTACTCATATCCGTGATTTATGGGCGCCCCCTGTCGTAGTTTTTCGCGAGTTTACTTCCGACTGGTTCGACTCTGTACTACGATGTGCACAACCATGGGTTAATAGAGTAGCTACTTACCTAGGAGTCGGTGCAGTAGCGGTTCAAAAGTAACGATTGACTCTAGCAGTCCTGGAGGGTATATACATACCATGCAGTACGGGGGAGCGACTACAGGACTGCTGAATCGGTAGCGACCTGCTAAACTCCGTCAATTACCGACCGACTACTGGCAGTGTATTTCATCGATTACTTTTGCAAGGCAATGTCCTAGGCAGTAGTTACCATCGGCTCTCTCTGCACTACCGGGAGTTACTAAAGTAGTCACCTGCGTGATTTATGGGAGCCCTCTGTCGTAGTTTTTCGCTATCTGGTAGCTCTGCACTACCATGTGCACTACCACGGGTTAGTAGAGTAGCTACATACCTAGGAGTCGGTGCAGTAGCGGTTCAAAAGTAGCGATTGACTCNGCAAGGCAATGTCCTAGGCAGTAGTTACCATCGGCTCTCTCTGCACTACCGGGAGTTACTAAAGTAGTCACCTGCGTGATTTATGGGAGCCCTCTGTCGTAGTTTTTCGCTATCTGGTAGCTCTGCACTACCATGTGCACTACCACGGGTTAGTAGAGTAGCTACATACCTAGGAGTCGGTGCAGTAGCGGTTCAAAAGTAGCGATTGACTCCAGCAGTACTGAGGGTATGTATACACGCAACATATTTTTGTATCGATTCGAACAATTTGATACAATCAGCACTTGTACCTCACACGAATCAAGCATGCATGCACGTACATATACACGCAACACACTTTAGTATCGATACGAAAAACAGTTTCGTTACCGCACAATATGTTGTGTTTTATTGATTCACGTTGAAGGTGCATATACGGAAGATGCGAGTAACGAGATTATTATGTGAGTAACGATTCGGTACTTCGAGTCAGGGGTTGTATTCGTTACTCAGTAACATACAATTGATTGTTCAGATATGGGGTTTTACTGTAAAACGCCTTTATTTGGACAGCTAAAACCGAGAAATTTTGTGAGCTAGTTTAAAAATAATTATACAAAGTGTACTGAGAAAATCTTCAAAATCGGTGCTGTATATGCTTTATCTCCTATACCACTGATTGCTCAGATACAAGTTTTTGTGTTATAACTCTTTTATGTAGGAAGGTAAAACCCATAAATTGAGTTACCGGTTTATATACAGATCACGTAGAAGTGAAAATTACTTAGTTTGGTGCTACATACATATATAAGGCATATCTTCCATGCCTTCTGATTCATATCTGATCGTTTAGATATGCTTTTTTATATATGTAACTCCTCTATCTATGTGTTCTGTGAATATAAAATTTTTTTCAAATGCAGTAATCTATTAAAGTAAAATTTTGTGATGTTCATGAAAGGTATGAAGCCTTCCGCATAACCGAAGGCAGCGCTCCTCTAACTTCTAATTATTAAGTTATTCTTACGATATTTTAAATAAGATGAAAATGCTGATGTGTTTCCAGTTTTGTTTACTTAATTTTAAATTTTTTTGACATCACAGAACAGCTGAGGGTTTGACACTAAGGGTTTGCCAGCAAAAATTCTTCGGCTTCTGACAAAAATAAAACCTCATCAACTCTCTAATTCAAATGTTTGTTTTAACTCAATGTGAAAATCAAGTAATTTTCAAAGGAGTTTCGGTGCTTACCTGTCAATCTATTAACGGTGCGGCAAGTATAGCTCTTAAATGCATCATTGGGTCCCGCGTTATTTATATACAGTTCCCCGTTAGGTAATACTGTATACTTTCCACCTATGTCAGTGTTGGGGTAGAGATGCATGCCAGTATCTTGGACCCAAGCTGTTACCATAACAAACTCCGACATATAGCTGGGCACCTACAATACGTTTATAAAAAATTATAATATAAAAATATTTGCGCATTATATAAAATAGCAATACAGTTATTTAATGTGATTGTTAAAAAGTATTATACAGATTTTAAATTTTTTGTAGTCCGTCTGGAATTCATTCCAAAATTGTGTTAAATGTCATTCATATAAACTGCGTTCTTATGGACCGTGTACCGGAACGTATGCGTAGCATTGAATCCAATTTTCTTTCACGAAAACGAAATAGCCCTTTCCAACTGGAATTTTTCGTATGCGCAACCAAAAATTGTTTAATTTAGTGTGTTGGTGTTGGTTGATTTTTCCGACAGGGTGGTAAGATGATTNATAGCATTGAATCCAATTTTCTTTCACGAAAATGAAATAGCCCTTTCCAACTGGAATTTTTCGTATGCGCAACCAAAAATTGTTTAATTTAGTATTTAATTCGGCCGCAGCAACGTAGTGGTTAGCTGTGCACACTACCACTCCGCGGGACCTGGGTTCAACCTCGGTTCAACCCAACATCAAAAAATATAAAACAAACANGGGATGACGGAAATTCGTTCCAAAATAAAAGTTTAATTTAGTATTTAATTCGGCCGCAGCAACGTAGTGGTTAGCTGTGCACACTACCACTCCGCGGGGCCTGGGTTCAACCTCGGTTCAACCCAACATCAAAAAATATAAAACAAACAAGCAAAAGTCTAAGTTCGGGCCCAACCGACAATAGATACCCGGCGCAAGTATTAAATATAGTTATTTTACACCTTTCCGAAAACTAACGCTACATGGTAGGCAGGGCTGGTTTGATCTCCATTTCAAACATCTTCGATAAACTTATCTTACTAATATTATAAATGTGAAAGTTTGTATGTTTGGATGTTTGGGAAATCATCACGCGGAAACGACTGAACAGATTTGCATGAAATTTGGTAAACGGATAGCTTATAGCCCAGATTGGTTAATAGGCTATTTTTTTAAGAGTTGCCACCTGTTAAAAAAGTTTAATTTATTTAATATGCGGGAACGACTGAATAGATTTGGATGAAAATTTGCACACAGATAGCTTATGACCTAGATTGGAAAATAGGCTACTCTTCTTAAGAGTTGCCATCTGTTAAAAAGTTTCATTAAATTAATACGCGGAAACGACTGAATGGCTTTGCATGAAATTTTGCAATCAGATAGCTTATGACCTACAGTGGAAAATAGGCTAATTTTTTGGAATAGTTGCCACCTGTTAAAAAAGTTTTAATTAAAATAATACGCTGAAAGGACTGAACAGATTTGCATGACATTTCGCGCAGAGATAGCTTATGACCTATGTTGGGAAATAGGCTACTATTTTATGAGCTGTCACGTATTAGAAAAGTTTAATTAAATTAATACACGTAAATGACTGAACTGATTTGCATGAAAGTTTGCACACAGATAGCTTATGACCTAGATTGGAAAGTAGGCTACGTTTTTAAAAATTGCCACCTGTTTGAAAATGAAATTTTGCCCAAAGATGGTTTATGACCTGGATTGAAAAATAGGCTACTAGGATGGTCTTAGACTGAAAGTAAGTCCGATAACTCAAGGCCCCTCCCATACATATTGGAATTTTCATATTGCATACATATCTCTGGAAGTATTTGTGGGAGAGAACTGAAACTCGGTATAGTGATATGTATCTGAAATCAATGATGGCATTAATCGATTGATGTTTTAATCAGTTAGTTAATTCGATTAAATTTAATCTGATTACAGTTAATCATGATTAATTTTAGTCTGACTAAAAAGGTAATCGTAACCGCGATCAAGAAATTAATTTTTAATCGTTAACTCTTAATTTGATCAAGTAGGTGTGGTGATTAATTAAGTTATGCTGGAAGTTCCCTGTACACACAAAGCAAGTTAATCCGGTATGGCTAAGTCGGGTTTCCTCATCAATCTAAGCAATTTGGTGTGCATTTTCATTAAGATATATACCAACAAACGTTTTACAAACTAGGTTTGTAAAAGTTCCCAGTTTATGTATTACTAATAACAATAATTATTATTTTTTTATATTATGTGCTTTTTATAAGCGTAAAACACAAAATAATTACTATAACTGGTGTTTGGTTTCAAACTCGGACAAACTAGACAAATTAATCAGATTTTATTTTTAATTGGATTAACGATTAATGTTTTAAATTAATTAAACGTAATCGCAGCCAGCGATTAACGAATAAAAAAATGTTATCATTAATCGTACAGTTGATTACGACTAATTAATTTTAATCGTCAAACGCGATTAACATTTTAATCGTTAATTTTTAATCGTTAATCAGATTAACAGTTTCCCAACACTGTGTGAAATCATGTTCATATTCACGGAGAAAAATGGACGTTTTTGGAAAAGAGGCGTAGCACCTCCCATACTGACTGAAAGTTTCATATTGCATATCTCTTCAAATGTTTGGGGTAAAGCACTCAAGCTTGGTATGGAAATACATATGTATGTATGTATGTGAAACTAATACCATACTCATGGAGAAAAATGAGAGTTATTGGAAAAGGTGGTGTGGCAACTCCCATGCAAATTGATTTTTCTATGCTGCATATCTCTGGAGGTGTTTATTGCAGAGGACTGGAACTTGGCACCGAGATGTGTATACAAAATTAATTCCATACTCATGGAGAAAAATTTGCGTTATTCGAAAAGGGGACATGGTTCCTCCCGTACAAATTTACTGTTTTATACTGCTTATCTCTAGAGGTGTTCATGGTAGAGTACTGGGACTTGGTACTGGGGTATGTAAAATCAATTCTAAATTCATGGAAGAAGATTAGGGTTATAAGAAAAAGGGGTGTGGCACTTCCAGTACAAATTTACTTTTTCTTGCCACATATCCCTGGAAGTGTTTGTGGAAGAATACTGGAACTTGGTATGGAGTTGTGTATGCAAAATGTATCAATTGCTCATGGAAAAAATGTGAGTTATTAAAAAAGGACGCATGTCGCCTCCCATACACACTAAAAACTTTTTAATATATATCTCTGGAAGGATAGAAAATCTTTCGAAGTATTTTAAATATGTTATGGAGGTTTTTTTTTATAAGTGCCGTACTGACAGAATAAATTTCATTAAAGGGAAAAGGCAGAGCCGGGTTCGGTCTTATAATCTAAAGCTGTCTTGAGGCATTTGCTACAGTAATGAGAAGTGGTATTTTATCAAGGCCAGGTTACTAAATTTGAGTTGGAAATATTAGAACCCGCCTCCAAGAAGGTTACACGTTCACCTTCGAACCATTTTAAGGTAAACTTAGAGGGATTGATATCTTTCGTATTTTATAATTTCATAGTTTTAACCTTAACTCGCTTAAAAAATAACGAGCTATAACGAAATGGGTACAGAAATAAAATCTAACATCTATAATTTGTTTCATATCTATATATTAATATGCTAACATAAATTTTTCTCCGTTCGTTTAGCGATTCTGCCAACCGATTTCAAAACCAAGAACACCGTTGGAAAGGTATTTTTCCGTAGATGAGCAGAGTTTTTATAGTTTCACAATTGGTTGAAAATTACGGCCAAAACCCTCGTTTAAACATTTTCGAATTGTGTATAGATGTTGCTGCAACATGTTCAATCTGACATGTTTCGCCTGTTGTTCCACTACACATTTGAAACTAAGCTTTGAAATAAAGATAAATATGAAGATGAAGAAATAAATGATAACGATGCAGTCAAAAAAAAAAGAAGGCAAAAGTGAAGATAAAGACGAAAATAGAGACAATGACATATACATAAGAATTAGGGTAACTAAAAGTGTAAGAACATTTCTTGAATTTATGAAGTGAAACTTCTTTAGCGGCAGTTGGTTGGTTGGGAGTAAATTGTCAAATTCAAGGGAAATAATGGACATGGAAACATTTCTCAGCGGTTTAGTGGTTTTAGAATAAAAACAAAAACAAAGATGTCTAGAGGTACAGGCAAAAACGAAGATCAAAGTAAATTTAAACACTTTAAGGTAAAGGTGAAGAGGAATATGCAAAAATAAAGATAAATATGAAGAAAAGGATGAGGATGAAGATCGATATTGGTATCGATATAAAAATCGATATTTTTATCGATATAATAATCGATATTTTTATCGATACTCTTATTGATTAAATAACCGCTATTGTAATCGATATAATAATCGATAATGTTATCGATACAATAATGGATATTGTTATCGGTATAATAATTGAATAAATAATTGATTTTGTTATCGATTTAGTAATTTATATTGTTACCGATATGTACAATAATCGATACTGATGATTATCGATGAATTAATCGATTTTACAATCGTTGTATTTTTCAATACGTTTATGGATATTGTTTTCGCTATTTTTATCGACACAGTTATCAACAGGATTATCGATATACTAATCGAAACATGGAATGTGATCACATTACATGACATCACATCACATTTTATCACATGATATGAAGAGACATCACATGATATTAAATCACATAATATGATATTACATCACACGATATCACGTGACATGACATTATATAATATGACATCATATTATATGGCATGACATCANATATGACATCATATGATATGACATCATATGACATGACATCAGAGGATATGACAACACATCACATGACATCCTATCCCATCACATAAAATTACGTCACATCTTATCACGTCATCGCACCTTATCTCATATACGTGAATAGAAAAAGAAAAGGATATAAGCAAAGATGTGA